CCGCTTTTTCGTTTGGAAGAGATGGAAGGAAAGAAGGTTTCTGCAGGGCTTTGGTTGAAAAGACCTGTGGCAGGCCCAGAGGCAATTCCACTGACCCCCCCCACGCCCCTCCCCTGGACCAGGGAAGGGGGAACGCAGAATAGAAACTTGCACCCCCTCAAACTTCACTCTCTTCTCCCCAGCTGGACACAGGTCCGTCAAGAATACTTGTCTACCGGGACGCCTGGGTGGCTCAGTTGGTTAAGCAGCTGCCTTCGGCTCAGGTCATGATCCCAGCGTCCTGGGATCGAGTCCCACATCGGGCTCCTTGCTCATCAGGGAGCCTGCTTCTCCCTCTGCCTCTGCCTGCCATTCTGTCTGCCTGTGCTTGCTCTCTTTCCCTCTCTCTCTCTGACAAATAATTAAATAAAATCTTTAAAAAAAAAAAAAAAGAATACTTGTCTACCAAGGAGACAACAGGCCACAGAAGCCATGATGACCCATGACCTCAGGTCCGTAACCCTTACCTACAGCCAGGCACACCCAGCAAAGAACTGTCAAGGCTTAGGTTCTTCAGAAGAAAAGGCGCTTTTGCCAGTTGGAGGTGTATTATTAAGTTGCGAACTGTGTGACCCAAAGCCACACCTCCTCATAAAATTGAACTGAACCAGAAAACAAGCACACAAATCAAACACAGGACACCCAGCACTGCGTCTAACAGGAAGATTCCACATCTAATACAAAAGGGTGTGAGAACGCTGACTTGTGCCGTTTGAAGCCACAGAAGACTCATTTAGCAGAGTTGGTTAGGTGTCCTGGCAAGGACGGCCCTCCATGGGCTGCTTATTCAAGTGGTTCCAAGTCCTCAAACCTCTTCCTTTGAGTACAGAAGAGTCAGGTCTGGAACGGTGCCATGGGCCACTCTGAAAGGATAGGGGTAGTGTTTGTGTAGAGGAATCCCCCTGCACCCCAAAATCAGGAATCAGAGCTTTGCTGTTGACAACCACTGCAGCAAAAAGTGAGGGGCAAGCCGTCAAGATTCCCGGCAGGGGAGAGGTCCTCTTTTTCTTAGCAGATGCAGACACCTGGCCTCCTCTCACCTCTCCCCAAACCTGCCAGCCTCAGTACAGACACCGCCAGCTTTACCAGAGCTCCCGCTGTCTGTGTGCCAAAGGTGGGGAGCCATTTCAGGCAAGCGTCCCAGCTGCTTGCTCAGCCCAACGCAGAAGGCCAACAGCTTCTGGGGGAAGCAGCAAGTGGGGTGGGAGGGGCTTCTGCCCCTGTCTACACTGCTAGGTCTGTACACTGCCTAGGCCCAGAAGTCTGAGGTCTTAGGGTTTCTCTGCTGTGTAGTTTATTTTCAGAATTGGGGCCACCCCACAGTCAAACGTGGAGCCGCACAAGAGATGGAGTGGGTGTCCTGGAGCAGGAATCATGGAGGTGGGGTGGATCACGAGGTTGGCCGTGATGCAGGAAGTCGGAAGGGGGCGGGGGGATGTGTGGAGTGTGGATGCCTGCCTACATCCCTGGTTTCAATTTCCACACTTCTTGGGGAAGGGCTCCTACCCTCCCCATGGCCTCAATCTACTTTCTCAACTGTGGAGTAATAGCGGCTTTGGTTGGAAGTTTACTGGGTCTGGCGCTAAGCTATGCCAAGGGCAGCCCATACGTTCTCTCATTTAACCCACGGCAAGTCCTTGGCGCAGACACCAGCTCCGTCTGCTGGTGGTGGGGGAGGGCTGAATGTGCCATGCGCCGACCAGTGGGCAGGACTACCACGGATTGCTGAGGGCCAGGAAAACAGAGAACCCCTAAACAGAGGGACCCTATCCCGGGCGACAGAGGGAAACGTGAGGTCAACAGAAAAGAGACCAAGAATCAGGTCTCAGAGGTAAAGACCCAATTGTAAAAAATTGTAAAACCCACTGGTTTTACAGATGAGCAAACGGAGGTCTGAAACACAAAAGCCACTTCCCAGGATGTCAAAGTGACCTGACGACAGAACTAGACTAATACCCAGGTCCCTGTCCAGATTTCCACTGTTTTTTTTTGGGCGGGGGGTAGATGGGTAGGCAAGATGCCCCAGAGGAAAATATAGAAACAACTGAGAGTCAAGAAGTTAGGGTTGTGGGGTGTTAGACGAACAGACTGGTTGCTGGTCTAGCTGTGAGCATCAGAGGCCCTACTCAGGGAGCGTGGGCTCAGCTGTCACTGGGGTTCCACAGGGTCCGAGGCCGGCGCAGACGTGTGCCATCTCCCCACCCTGATCATCCCACTGCTTCTCTCTCTGGGTCGCTGCTAGGCCACCCCTCCCAGCATCCTTTGTTCATGAGGTATTGCTGGCTCCTGGCCTCACACTCCTGTTTTCCAAGGCCCGCATCAGATCCCAAATGCCAAGTTTAAAAATTCCTGGTCTCAAGAGAGAAAGGTAACCGGTGCCATTATTACAATTTGAGCCGTTCCCTTTAAAGGTATCTAGGAGAGCTTGTTTCTGCCTGGCTGGGCATGGCTGCGGGTTGGGGTGGAAAGCAGACTGCACTTTAAGTCAACCAGACGTGGCTTTAAACTTACTCCTGATGCTATTCTGCCACATGACCCTGGATAAGTCACTTAACCTTTCCGGAGACTAGTTTCCTGGTCACTGGTACCATGGGGATAATGCTTCCTGCTCCGGCTTCTCTCATGGGACCTGGAAAAGGCCTTTGCAGACTGTAGAACACTGCCCCAGTGGATCCTGATACTCCTTTATTCTAGAATCTCTTCAGGGACCTTAATACATACAGGCCTACTGAACAATCGTTAATTCAGAAAAATGTGGCTTACCCGCGCTGTCCCCCCTCCCCCAAGTCCACTACCAGGTCCCCTTGTTGGTTTCCTGATGGAGACAGAAGAGGATGGGACTTAAGTCAGGGACCCAGGGCTTATGGTATTGATTCGGACTCCGGGATCCTGGGCCAATCACCCCACCCCTCTCTGGTTCTCTGCTTTCTCACTGTGAATATAAGGGCTGGACTGGATAATCACCAAAGTCATTCCTAATTGTGGACCCAAACACTTCCAGATTCAGTCATATCTGTTTCAGATGACGTGGCTGACCAGCAGTGCCTGGTCCAGGTAGGGGCAGCTCTGAATATGGGTGGGGTGGTACAGGCTGGAGACAATGAGACTGAGCAGATACCGGGAGCACTGGAGCCTCTCATCAGGCTCCTGCAGGAGCCACATGGCGGGGGGGTGGGGGGTGGGGGGGTGGTGTAGGGTGTGTGTGTGTGTGTGTGTGTGTGTGTGTGTGTGTGTGTGTGTAGTGAAGGCACATGGCAGTCTGTGGTTCCTCCCTGGCCCAAACCCCTGATGCAGCCGAGGCAGATAACTGAGGACTAAGTAACAGGGTAGCAGGGGAGATTGTGCTGGGGAGGGGAGAGGAAGACTCCCCAAGGACAAGGGTGGGGTGGGGCGGGGCTAGCCAGCCTTCTCACATTCTTTTCTGGTGCCAGAGGTTGGTGAGAGGAGGACGCCCAGCCTGGGAGCCAGCTGGCTGGTTGCTGGGGGCTGGTGGGAACACAGGGAGGAAGAGTGCCCACTGCTGTGTGGGGTGGTCTCCCTAAAACAGGCCAAGTGTTGGACAGAGGTACGTCTATGTGGCATCCTCACTAGAATATGTGTTGTGTATGGCAGGTCAGACTCTTAGCATCGGCTCAGGAGAAAGGATTAAAATCTGAAGAGGTTTGCCCCAAGGTTCGTGGGGACCCCGGTGACCAGCTCCAGGGGAACAGGTACAGTATATTTTTTGCTACAAGGCTCTGGTGGCATGCCTATTTCTACAGCCGTCTCTCTAGTAGTACAGGAACTGCCTTTCCAAACTCCTTCCTTAACTGCAAAGGAGCAAATGCCATCCATTTGTGTGCAGGGCATGGGGGCCTCAGACTCAGGACACAAAGGTTCCCTTTTCCTTGCTTCTTTCCGTCTCTGGGTGGTCCCTTAATCCCCCAAGAGAAGGTGCCTGCCTCAGGCTTTCCAGTTGCAGAAAGGCCAAGTGCGGCCAGCAGTGGGTGTCATGCAGCTCCCCAGCCCGGTGTCCTATCCAGGTGAACCACTGTCCGTGGCCCCGCCCAGGCACTGGGTGGGCTGGCACAGGGGTGTAGGCCAGGCTGGAGGACCCGGGCTAGCAGTAGGCGGAGGGCACCCGATCTTCCCCCGGAAATGGGGAAACACAGGACTAAAAGCGCCAACAGGCATTTGCCCCACCTCTCCCCAACTCTCCCAGAGTTCTCTCCAGTTCAGATACTTATCGCCTTTGGGGGAAAAAAAAATCAAGACAAGCTAGTCTTTCAGGTAGTTTCGAGGGAGTTCCGACTTTCTCACGGCGGGCTCAGAATCAAGCCTGCAGGAACCTCCTGGAGGGTGGAGGGGGTCTCCCACTCTCACTCAGGGACGCGTTCCCAATCCTCCCTCCCTCTCCCTTTCCAGTGTAAAAGTGTCAACAGGTCTGGGCTGAGCTCTCCTCGCCCCACTGAAATCCTCAGAGCGCCCGCATCTCCCCCCATCCCCTCCTCGCGGCCCCGGCCACTTGTGAGACCCCACCCAGATCGCGAACTGTGCTGCCCGCCACAGTCGTCCCTGGTCAGGGCCTGAAGTTCCCAGAAGAAGGGTGCTCCGTTTCTCCCTGCCGCCTTCCCCTCCGGCACTCGGAGGGGCTGGGGGAGGGGAGGGAGCAGACGCGAACCCCACCCCAAACCCTCGGCGAAAAAGAGGGCTAGGGCCGGTCTCCCCGCCCCAGCTCCCTAGAGCCCCCCGCGCTCCGCTGCCCGGCTCGGGTTCGGAGGAGCCCCTACGATCGTGCCCGCCCCGCTCGTCTCCGGACCCGGTCGAGGAGCCAGCTGGCGGCCGCGGTGCCCTTTCTCCTCCCGCCCGGAGTCCACCCGGCGCCGGGAGTGCCAGTTACCGGCAGCCCGGACCGCGGACAGGGTCTCCGGGATGAACAGGTGGCTCCGGGGAGGAGCGCGCGGCGGTTGGCGCTCACTCACCCAGAAGATGAAGTTAAATCCGAAGAGCAGGTATTTGATGCACTTGGTGCCTCCTTTGACCGGCATGGTGCGGGCTAGACTGGCCTGGGCCGGACCCGTGTGGAACTGGGGGCGCGCGCGGCCGGGACGAGGGTTTGCAGACTTGGGGCCGGGGCTTCGGCGGCTGCAGGCTGGCCTCCGGGCTGCACTTTTAAAAAGTGCCACTCCTTACTGAGCCCAGTGGCTGCGGTGCGCATGTGCCGTGGACCCCGCCCCCGGCCGACTCGGCCCCTGGCCCCACCTGCCCCGCCTACGCCCAGAGGCCGGCTCCCGCCCGGCTTCCGGGGGATACTGGGGCTCAGCGGTCTTGGAGCCCGCTCTGCCCTTTCCTCTCCTTCCTCCGGGCACAGCCCTCTCGCTCACGTTCGTTGGCCCGACCCTCTTTCCCGCCGCCGACCTTCCCCTTTCCTCTCAACAGCCCCGGGATCATTCCAGACTGCTCGCTCCCCTCCTCCTCTCCGCTTTTACCTAGGAGTTCTGTGGAAGCCTTGCCCTGAAGTTCCCGCTTTGTTGATTCTGATCTTCCTGCCTGAGCTCTTTGCTACGGGAGACCTTTCTTGGGTCGTTGGGGGTTGGGGTTGGGATCCAGTCCCCTTACTCCAGGCGGCTGCCCGCCGAGTGAAGGCTCTTCTTGCTCTGTACTCGATTTGAAGGGGAGCCGCCGGGCTTTATTTCTCCTTGAGGCGGCTACTTGCAAACTTTCATTCATGGAGTACACTCTTTACTTGGCATCTCGCTCTGTGGAACAGGAATTAGCAACTGGCAGTCCAGGCGGCAAGAGAGGATGGAGGCTTATGGGAGTAATTTTCAAATATGGTTCCTGAACAGTAATATGGCTGAGGAAGTCGAGGGGTCCTGCGGTGCTTCCTGGTCTTGGGGTTCAGATGCCCTGAGAGAAGAGAGAGTTCCTATCCAGGCTTCTGTTCTCACCTCTACTCCCCAGCGCCTTTCCTCTTGCCCTTTGACCTCGACATGCTGAGTTCTGATCCCGTTTCTCCTGGGCTCCACAACTTTCTGTAGCTCCCCACATTCAGTGACCTGAGTTGAAATTACCCATCTGGCATTCTATTCCTCATCTCGTGTCTATGCTGAATGCTGCTCTCCCCGGCACTCCCTGCCCTACTCAGCTCCCCACTTCTGTGTGGCCTTGCCTTGCCTGTGGCATGTGGTGTGGGCCTTCTGACTGCCTGGCCCTACCTCTTCAGTTGGAGAAACTCCTCTCCTGTTTCTCACCAAAGGATGAGGAGATTCCTTCTGCTTTTGGAGTCCCGAAGCCTCTTTGTATTTTTTTTTTCCCAAATGAAGTTTCCCTTACAAAAGCAAGAAACATCAGAAAATACCAACAAGCAAAAAAGGAGCCTAACTCAAATTTCACCCACTAGAAACAGAGGGCGTCGCCCTTTGTAGCTCTGATTTTGCTTTTTATTATCACTCTCAGTTGTTTCATTGATTTGTTCAAAAACATTTTCATGTTCTACTCCTAAGGGGGCTCCTTAGGGGCAGGAGCTGCGTGTCCAGGGCAGGAGTAGAGGGACTCAGGTGGCCAGACAGTGGGGGAGAGTACTGTTTGGGGCTTGGAGATAGGCTTGGAGGCTGAGGGAGCTCTGAGGAGGGGCCTCTGACACAGACTGGGAAGTGATGCTGCAGAACTAAAGGGAAAGTTGTTTCACAGAAGAATCTTCTGGCAAAGCCTGGGGCCCTGGGTCTGTCTGGGGTCTGGGGTGGAGCTCACAGCTGGGGGAGGTATGTGGAAGGTCAAGGTGGAGACCCAGGGGCTGGGGAGAGGGGGAGCCTCCCCTTGCTGTGTGATTTAGGTTGAGGGTTACCTGTATTTTAGGCCGTTGGGTGGGGAGGGCAGGAGGTGCAGGGGATAAGGACTAGTGTTTGTCTGTCCCGACCTCAGAGCTTTGGGGGATTATGAGGAAGGTGACAGGCAATGTGTTGTAACCGGGCCCTGCAACTGGGTAGTGTGAGGGGAGCATGGGACACAAAAGGTGAGGTGGGGACATGTGGAGAGCAGTCAGGAGGCCCTAGGAGAGGTCAGGTGAGAGACAGAGAGAAGTGAACAAGATGGGGAGATGGGGTATAGGCTGGAGAGTGCAGCAAAACCAGAAGAGAGGACTCTGTGTGTGTGTGTGTGTGTGTGTGTGTGTGTGTGTGTGTAGGCGGGAGGAGGCGGGGGAGATCTCAGCCAGAACAGCTGGAGCCAGATGATGGGGAACTCCATTCACGTGTTCTAAGGCTTCTTGGGAGCCTGCTGTGATGAGGAAAGAGAAGCTTCGAGCCCGAGCCGGGTTCCCCTCAGTGTTGCACAATACTAAGAGCGAGGGACTGCAGGAATTTTGGTAATGTTTCACCTTCGTCACTCACCCTAATCTAGTGTCCACTGAGGACGGTTGGGGCCGGGCAGTATGTGGGGGTGGTAGGAAATCAGACAATGTCCCATTGTGCTGCTCTGAGGCAGAGGCCACCTACCTAGGGAGAAACAGGTCGGAGGGAAAGAGGATTTTATCTTTTGGTATTCTTCTCTCCTCTCCTCCCTGCTCCCCCCACCTGTTAACCAGTGCAGGTGGGAGGAGAGTTCAGTAACTATTAAGCTTATACTAGAAACCCCTTCTCAGGGTAATGTGCGTATTGAATGAGGTAGTTCTGTAGGAGGGCTTAGTTCAGTGCCTGGCACACAAGTGAGCAAGAAATGGGAGCTGTTGTTACCGTTACTGTTATAGAAGCAATGGGGCGGGGTATGGTGCAGCTCCAAATTATATACAATCAAGGGGGTCCTTATAACATGAGTGTGGCCATCTGAAGTCTTAATCTAACCCCTTGGTTTATTTTGGACAAGTCACTTGCTGTCTCTGGGTGTCAGGCTGTTCACCTGTAGAATGGGCACTTTGGGTTAGGAGATGGCGGGGTGCCCTCCATCTGACAATCCATGGTGCAAAAAGCCTCTGGGCCAAAGTGTGTTTATTACGGGCAGTTCTATGGGTAACCAGGAAAGGGAGAGATGGAAAAAAATGTGGTTTGCTGCAGCTGGAAGGGGAAAATTTGGGTAAGCCCCTGAGTCAGAGATCACACGGAGGCAGAGAGGGCTTCCAGGCTTTGTGGTGCTGGGAGTGGGAAACTTTCCCTCCCTTCCCTCGGGGCATCCTGTTTCTGGAAAAACCCCGGTTGGGGCTGAAGGACCACTTTGGCTTTTGTGCGCCCCCTGGTGGTAATGTTTGAAATCTCGGGGCAGGCAAACTAAGGACCTGCCACACCCATCTCCCCGGGGACTGCTCATCTCTCCAGCCAGGGGGGCAACAGGCAGGACCCCCGCTCTCACTGGGCGCTCTCTGCCCTCCTAGACACCCCACCAGGGATCATTTGGGGGCTTGTTTTCTTCCTGCTGCTGCTGCAGCAGCCTTTCACCATGCTGACCGTACCTTCTTTCTAGACATTTCTCCCTTGGGTGTCCCTGGTGCTACATGTACCATCTTGGTTCACTCCCTTAACTTCTAGAAACTTCTTTCCTGCTCCTCTTACTAAGGTCAAATGCCACCACTTCATGAAGAACACCCCAGTCTTTTCCTCCATGGATTACCTTGTTTGAATCTCCCTCATGCTGACTCATTGACCTTCGCCGTGTTCTCTTGTGGCTTCACAGTTTGGTGGTAAGCTCCTCTAAAGTAAACTTCACCTGATTAATTTCTGTGTTTTCCGTAGAACCCAGTCCCTTGCCGGCCCATCAGGCCCTCTGCAAACATGTGTGGAGAAGCTGCAGAGGAGTGAGCCTTCCTCGGGCTTTGTGTCTCTGACCCCCTCTCAGCTCTCACTAGGCACTCGCCCCCTCTCACTTTCTCTCTTTGGAGCTGACCTCTCCCTAAACTCATCATGGTAACGGAGGGCCTATTGGGCATTTCCACTTTAATGGCCCCTCACGTCCAAACCCTCCAAAATCTGTGAGGAGGTCACCCTGCGTGTCAGAGGGCTTTATGCACAGGTAATTAAGTTAAGGATCTTGAGATGGGGAGGTTATCCTGGCTTATGTTGGTGGGCCAGGTGTGATCAGTGGGAGTCCTATGAGAATAGACAGAAGGTCAGAGCCAGAGAAGGAGATTTGAAGGCGGAAGCAGAAGGCTGAGTGATGTGGGGCCACGTGCCAAGGAACGCAGGCAGCTGCTTCCAATAGTTGGCGGCAGCGAGGAAGCCGATTCTCCTCTAAGGCTGACTGAAGGAACAACTCATTTTAGACTCCAGGCCTTCAGGACTATAAAATGATGTGTGTTATGGTAAGCCACTCAATGGGTGGTAATTTGTTACAGAAGCAATAGGAATCTCAAAACAAATATCCAGGGGCGCCTGGGTGGCTCAGTGGGTTAAAGCCTCTGCCTTCGGCTCAGGTCATGATCCCAGGGTCCTGGGATCGAGCCCCGAGTCGGCCTCTCTGCTCAGCAGGGAGCCTGCTTCCTGCTCTCTCTCTGCCTGCCTCTCTGCCTACCTGTGATCTCTGTCTGCCAGATGGATAAATAAAATCTTAAAAAACAACAACAACAACAAAAAAACCCAAATATCCAGATCAGAGTTCATGACCTTGAGAGTCTCCCTGCTCCGGAGGTCATTCTCCTCACTGTCTCATCCGTCAGCACGGAGATTCACAGCACCTGTGACTGCTTCTGCCTCCAGTCCCACACCTGCCTCTCGAATGTGGGTCTTGCTTCTGGGAATCTCTCCCACCGCTCCTGGCAGTGGCCACAAGGCTGCCCAATTTAGAGATAAGGAAGCAAGCCGAAGAAGGAGGTGTTGGTGATTTATGGGCAAAGATTGGGTCTTGGGCCTTCTGCTGCCAGCTCTGAATTTCTCAGCCTTCATTCTTCCTGTCCCCTGTAGGCCAGGCCCTCAAAGCTCTTTCCTCAACCCAAACAACCGTTCCACCCTCTTCCTGACCCCCTGTCTTCACTTGTCCAGTCTGAACACATCGCTTGACCCATTGCCTTGCACCGTCGCTGGGCTTGGGCTGCTCTGGGCTCCTCTGCTCCCAGCCACACCTTTGCATTGCATTAAACATGCACCCAGTCAACGTGGGACCACCTGTGTTTAGTGCGCAGTCCCTGAAGATGCTATGGAGAGCTGGAGGAGGGGGACCCCTCAAAGGCCAGAGAACACCGATCTAAAAACCCTTTCTGGGTGTCTC